TTAACTTAAAAAAAGATCCTTTAAGGTTGATATTCAATTTAAATTTATAAATCACTGTTAAAATTTTTCTATTGGTAATATCAAAAAACGAAAACATTAGGTTCATTCTAAATACCATATAGATTTAATGTATAAAATTACAGGTGATACTGATGCGTATTTTTTATAAACCAAGAAAATACGATTATTTAGTTTCATAAACACCACCACACCAAATAAAATATTCGTATTTTTTGGTTTAAAAAAAAATACGCGTTAGTATTGCCTATAATATTATAAATTAAATCTATATGGTATTTAGAATTAACTTAATGTTTTCGTTTTTTGTTATTACTAACAAAAAAAATTTTAACAACGATTTAAATCTATCCTGGCAACGACGAGGGAGTGCAAACGTAGTGATTTAGAGATAAACTAGCCATCCCAAAAATAGGCAGTTAGCGGGTAATGGCTTAAAAGAACATGTAAAATGAAAAACTGTAAATGGGTGTTCAATTGTTTTAATTTCATATACAATCTGCCGTCTCCAAAGGTAACTTAGTTAATTTATTAAAATTAGTAGTTCCTATTTTATCAAATCTTACTAAGTATACTCCATTTTTAAATTTAAATGGAACCCATATTATTTCCGAAAAATACCTTGGATGGACTATTTGTCGTAAAGGTAAGAGTAAAAGAATGTACTTTTATTAGGGAGATGTTTGTAATTAATGGGAGTCCATAAATACAAATATAAAATGTCTTACAGCACAAGTAAAATGTTAAATCATCTCCATTACTCCGTTTAAAAATGTCATCTTAAAATAGATACAAGTCATACATATGAACTAAATTAGTCTACTATATTTCTTCTAATAGATACAATCTGTTATAGCAGCCGTTGCAAGTGGCTGAAATTAACCGGCTATCAGAACGCCTACCATCCCGACTTCTTAATAGCACGCTTCTTCTTGTATTGTAAAGAATAACAATATTTTAAATGTCATTTCTTTTATTCATTGTGCTTAGTTGATGAATGAAATAATTATACCGAGTTGACAAATATATTAAAAAAAAAAATGGGTACACTAAAATCCGTCTCACAATACATATACTCATTAAATTGTAATTGTGTGTATCTCCAAACTACATGCTTTAAGCACCATAACATTTGTTAGTTTTAACCTTGGTAGATATACATGGTGTGTACAAATTTTTAAATATTGTCATAACTTTTTTACTAGTGATTTTTCCAAAAATAACACTAACAAAAGTTGTTTGAAGTAAATCAACACACACTTGTATGTCCTAAATTTTTTCTGTTAAGCCGTAGCGTTGCTATGACCACAATTTTTGGCAACCCTAATTTTTGTGACAAAATATATATGGTGCAATGTATTTTTGATAGGGTTACATAATAATAATTTTGAAAAAAAAATACAAATGCATTTAATCAGTAATACTAATCTAATACCATTACAATTAAAAATAAGAAAATGTATAAAATGGGTTAAACTTCTGCCCTATTTACAGCCAGACAGTGGCCCAGACGGCCCAGTATATTTCTTATGATATTTTCGAGGATGTCATAAGATATGCGAATAATTTCGATCCGTATTCTTTGTTTTAAGTCATCGAAGTTGATCGGTCTACTCTGATACACTTAATTTCTTAGGTAGCCACACAACAAAAAGTCCACAGGCATTAGATCTGGGTACGTAGCGAGCTATTCCATTGCCCCTGTTCTACCTATTCACTTGCCGGGAAAAGTTTCGTTTAAGTACTGTCTAACTTGCCGCCCAGTGTGTGGCGGAGCCCCGTCTTGCTGAGACCATACATCAATCATCTCCATCATTAACTTGCAAAATTTAAAGTTTCTGTCATAGTCATCTTCGCCTAACTATTGGACTAAGTGAACTCGGTAAGGTTAGAATTTTTCCTTTTTTTAGAAGATTACTGACCGATTTAGGGCACAGTTCAAAATCAAGAACAAGTGCTAGTTAACATTTTGAGTTATAGTTTTTGACCTATATGCCCAATTAGTCGTAAAATGGTCATAAAAATAATTTTCATGACTGTAGGTCATCTAAGGTTCGTTATAAGATTATACCCACCACTATCGAAACTCCTTATCGTATGAAGGTCATATGGTACGCATAAGATGACTAATTGGACGTTACACGTGGATGGTCTTGAGGCAGTTACGAAATCGTAAAGAGATCGTTGTCATCTACAATGTAACCCTTAACATGACTTAATGAATATAGTTGTATAAGGGTGGTTAAAAAATAATATGACTTTATTATGACCTTGTAGAAAGATAGTTGTACAAAGGTCATTAAAAACCGTGATAAGACCTCTTTAGTACCTAAAATTGAAGGGAGTTGTAAAAGAGATTATATTGATTTTCAATATGACCTCCATACGACCCACAAAAAATATGGCGTCCATAAATTAAGAGCAGTAACAGAGGTTATATTTACATTGGAAACGACCTCGGCACGACCCGTGACAGAAATATGGAGCTCCAAAAAGTGGTAGTCCTAACAGAAATTCAATATGACCTCGGTAAGATCATGAATCATTAATAATATGTGACCAATTTCTTGCTGTCAATACTAGTCTATGAATAAAAGTACATAGCTAGAAATCGATTTAAACGTTTAACATATTCGTGTAATAACACCACTTAGGTACTTAGTTTCATACTTAATACAGTTTGATTATTGATGTTTTATTTATCCCTACTGTAAACAGATGAATACAAAATATACGCATAGGTAAAATATATACAATACATACTGATTCGGTATATTCTTTTGTCGTGTTGAACAAAAATCAGATCATAGGTTGTATCGAAGTCATATCAAAGATTGTTACGACCTTATAATGACTCTATAACGACCCATATACGACAATATCATAATCAATTTTTAGGACACGGCCTCATAGTTCTATAAAAGTCATATCCAATTAAGTCACATGAAAGTCATATGAAAAATCGTGACAACCCTTTCCCAATCATTCATATATGGTCGTAAAATGGTTGTAAATAGGTCGTTACGTCTAAACGCAAGTCGTATTTTAGGTCGTGACGACGTCGTTACGTTTCTTATAAAACTGAAAATATTATTTGGGATGCTTAGTCGACACTCTGGGATTTTCCTCATCTGATAATAAAATATTGAGAGGTTTGTCGTCTGCTGTCGCTTCTGTTGATTTTTAATACTTCCTGTGTCTCTAAATTTTCTCAGATAATACAATATCTTCTCTTTTCAAATATTTACTTATATCTTTGTAGGATCCTTTACAAATAAAAACCTCCAATTGAAAAATTGCCAGACTATAGCGAATTTGTATGCATTTGTAGTTTCTTCTGTCGAGAGGAACCCTATACTATTATCATCTACTTGTTATCAATAAATGTCATCTTTAACTCGTAATTTCGTCATTGGTTATTTGCATTTCAAAATTTTTATACCAATGTTAAACGACTTGACAATATACTCAAAACGCATCACTCAACCCCACGTGCCATTTGAAATTTTTGGTTTGATAGGCGACGCGATGATTGTATTTATCGCATGAGTAGTGAAATGATGGACGCAATATGTAAAAAATTTTTGTTGCAAACCATTTAGATTGCCATCCTTAATGTCAAGTAAACCAAATTTTCTTATTAAATTACACAATATTATCCTTGAATCAACAATTAGAATATAATTACGAGGAATTAAGGAACGTAGCTGGATCACTTTGTTATAATTGAGGAAGTTAGATAGGTATCATATAGGTTTAAATGTGGTAACTATTTTTAACGCATTTTAATTGATGAACTCTATTTCTAGGTTGGTTGAAGAGCCACTTTATAATTCCTTTCTAAGAGTAATGCGCTAGTTATCATGGTTACTAAAAATAGATAAAACATTTTTATTCAGATTTGTACAGATTTTTGTGTACTAATCAGATTAAATATAATTCACTACTCTTGTATCGAAACATTTTCGAGGAATGTAACGCATATGTTTGCATATATACGAAAAAAATATATGGATCTATTTTGGGCATCAATAAAATTCCTTCCGCCCAATGTCAGGACTGGGAACTTAAAAGATTGATTTTTTTAAAAGGCCACAAAAAAATGGCATGAAGTAATGTCACATGATCGTGGAGGAAATTCTATGAATGTTCACATACGGATGGTCTAGACACATGAAAATTCAACATTGCCACAATTTGAGGATAATCCACATTATTGTTTAACAATTTGTGCAAGAATATTAATTGTAAGCTTTCCCGTCTATCTCGTAGACTATCTAAGTAAACTCTGTTGAGCATGGTGGAATGAGGGAAGCCAATTGAAGGATATACCCCATCCTCTTTATGACTACAATGTTTTAGAAATCTTCTTTGAAATGTCTCTAAATGTTGAATACAAGTATTGTATGATGAGCACCAAATCCTTAAAGCGTACTTTATTCTCGACATTACAATTGTAGAAGTCGTTAGCATTTCTTGTAATGAACCCCAGGACTATAAAACAACCAGATGTAAGAATCTTGATGTTATCCACAAATGAGAGCGTCTGATCAAACGTTATACCTAAGACTTGAAAGATAACAGTTTTATTTTAAATGAATCAATTTAAGGTATAATCAAAGATAACACTGACGTAGTTTTCCACGAAACACCAACTGGTGTTTTGGTGTTTCGTGGAAAACTACAGTGTTATCTTCACATCAAAGGTTCCAACTCGCTTCAGAAAATAATCAAATATCATATTTGTCTTGTTGCTAAAAGTCATGACATTACATTTTGCTACATTCAAAGGCAATTTGTTTGCAACGTACCAATTGTTTATATTTAATAACTTTATGCAATCTTCACCGCTTCTGATATTGTAGTATAATTTCCTTTCGTCCGCATACACTAAACAATTCACATGTAATTCAAAAATAATATCGTTAATAAAAATATTAAAACGGAGCGGACCTAGGTTGGACCCTTGAGGTACACTGGAGCTTCTCTACCGGGGATCGAACCCGGGACTTCAATGTGAGAGGCAAGTGTATTTGCCACTCGACCACGAAACCACTAGTAATTTGCAATAACTTTCAAATAACTTAGTTTTGTATACAATAACAAATTGCATCTTTAATTTATTTTCACAGCATTTTAAATTTCTCTAGTGACGCCCATGTTTTTTATGTTTTTTCCAAGCGCGATGTTTTAAATTAATGTCTATTTATTTGAAATGAGAGCCATAGAGGGAAATTTCTATTATGATTTTTAGTTTTAGGAACAAATATGGCAAGTAATTCGTAAATTTTGATGTAGAACTGTTGATAGGCAAAATTTATTTCTGTAAATTGGTTAAAGAAACTCTTGTTAATTTCTGCATGATTACGGTAGAGATCAACATAGTTAGTCTTAGGAAAATTGTAATGGGTAATATTAATTTTTTCTTTATCATTACCAGAACGCGGAGTAAAATTTAACTATGTTTTTGGGGCCGGATGATGACTGCTTTCATTAAGCAAAATATCCACAGTTTTTCAGTTTTATTGTCAATGTGTGTAAGCACCAGATCTGGAAGTCTGGAAGTTTTTAATAATATTACGTTGCTGCTTCAAATCTAGAAACCTGCTTTTGAAAAAATTCAAGTGTAAGTAAAATAGTGAAAGAAATTACGCGATTAAGCCGCATTCGTTTATTTTTAACCGTTCCTGAGATATAGAGAGAAATATATTCTTGTAAATTCAATCTTACCGGCGCATTCGCCACTAAAGAAATATTTCATCCGTCTAGCAATCCATATTCATATACAACGTCCAGAATTAGCATCTAGCACCGAGGAATTGGAAATTGGGCATTTAATGAGAGTCCTGTGTTTGTTTTCCTTACTTTCAGGAGTAATATATGCAATATTGTTTCATTTATTTTTGAAGTAAGTAAAATTAGATTATATTTCTAAATCATCATTGAATATATCATGGCATGGAATAAAACATTTCATAAATAATTAGTTAAAAAATCTAAATTTTTTTATAAGTTTAAGTTGACAGACTTCTTTTATCATAAATTATGAGTGTTATTTTAATTTCTTTTTATTACAGAAGATACCATGTGGCAGTTTTCTTATCGGAAGATATTTTTTACATGATTGCTGACATTATCGTGTTCTAATATAAATAAATAAAACTATTTATCGATATATAAACTATCGTTTGTCTTCTAAAAGAATTTTTGTGACGCAAGGAGTATGTTTATACATGTTTGTTTTATGTTTATATTTGCACCTATAATTTTCATTATTAATGACTAATTCATCGTGTCATGTGAAAGTGGGGGTAAAACATTATTTAAACTACTGAATTATCCCCCAGCTATTCTTTGCTTAAGTTGCTTCAGTTAAACTGTAACTGTAACACTTTTTTAAAATTGTGTTGAACCTTAAAAAAAATAAAAGTTACTTGTACTATTCTAATACTATTGAGTCTTCCTTTAACCAACTGGGTAAGTACCAATTAAGATATAACTCTGTTTTATTAATTATAAATTTATTATCATCATAAGTTTACTGTAGACTTTATACATGGTTTGATTCTTGTCTAAATAATGAAATATTTGATACATAATGCAATATTGGCTTTCAGTGCATGAACTTATGAAACAAAATTTTGTTTAACATAATTAACATGACGTTTAACGTATATAGCATGATATAATATGATAAAGAGCAGTATTAATTAAAATTATGTTTACTTTTAAAGATGTTTTCTATTGTTATAATTAAAATAAGGAAACTATAATTTTAATTGAAAATTTACTACTCTATTTCAAGCCGGCACACAGTGGACGGAAACGCCGAAAAGCTGGCCAAAATATAAAGGCATTGAGCTATTTTATTGAAATTGTGCATACAGGGGTTTTTTGTGTCACTGATCAAGAATCCGAAGTTGAATTTTGAAAAAACAAAATGGCGGCCATGAAATTCCCCCCAAAACATACCAAAAATCGCCAATTATCGCTGCATTTTTACAAAACTTTGTATACAGTTTTTTTGGGTCGCTAATGAAGAATCCCATATAGAATTTCAAAACAATTACTGTCAAAAATATATACATAGTTCAAAAATTATTATTGAATTGAAGCGAATTCATGTGTTTCATTTGTTTCGGGAAAATTAGGATCTGGGGAATGGAATAAAAATGTGTAATGACTTTGGACGCATGAGTTGAGAACGCATGACGTTCTCATTTCATGAGAACGCATTCAAAAGGAGCCCACTTTATGGTGCACGAATGTGCATGCATCCGTGCATTCGCGCACAATTTGGTCAATATCTCGCAAAGATGCAAAAAGATGCAGCTAATTTTTTATACACTTTCGAAAAAATGTTCATTGAACATATTCCAATAAGTTTCAAGACCAACCATCACCAACCGCGTAACTTATGGCTTTTTTTGTGGAGTTTATGAATCGATGCATGTACAAAAATGCACTCCACTTCGATAGTTATTTACTAATTACCATATAAATAAACTGATCTGATACTGAGATATTTTAATTGTACTTACTTTCTGATGCAGAATCCATTTTTATGACACAGAAAACTGCACTTTGAGAATTTTTACGCTGCAGACAAAATTTATCGATTTTTGAAGCGTTGCGAGCTGCCGAAGTGACGCGCTGCACGGTCGCACAATAAGTAATTTCCTCGCTCAGGTAGTGAACCCGGACCGGTATTAACGGTCGTTTCTAATGCTAGGGGTACCACTACAACGTTTCCATTTCAAAAAAAAAATTTTCATTTTTTTAATTTTGGCCAGCTTTTTGGCGTTTCCGTCCACTGTGCGGCAGAAAAAATAATCTTATTTTATTTTTTTTATTACAGAAGATTTTACTAATCAAAGGAATATAGTCAAATATTTTAAATAGCGCGGAATATCAGATTACTGGATGCGAAGCCTGATAAAGGGGGATCAAGGTAAAACAGTTATTCTTCGTTTAATCCTTAACTGAAAGATACTAATTCTGTCTGAAGATGAAATGGTTTGAAATTAACATGGAAACATTATTATTAACTATCTGCATTTTCTTTTTCTATATGGTATTTCTAATAATCGGATACAGCTTGCACTTCTCATTTAATTATAATGAGTAATAAGAGGCGAATACAGACATAATCAGTGTGTGAGACAGCAACAATAACACGGTATGGATTTAGACCTTTTTTCAGAGGATAATTTGTCAATGTCGCATCAACCGTTTCTGCCACACGTGTGGAATCATGATATTATCAATTCTCTAACAATTATGTGTTGTGCTGTACTTTTATATGCATTGCTTTTGTTCGCTACAATTATTCTACATAATCCATCTCCTTTTAATTTCTAGTAATACAGTTTCTTTATTATGTGTAGAAATGTATTAAGACAAAATAGAACTGTGTATATATTAAACAAAAAAATATATAAAAATAAATGAATGTGCCAAAAAAAATTTGGTCTGTGTTTGGAATTAACGCGGCAAAAAATAAATACATATTTCTATTTCTAGTCTTAAAATTATCTTTTTTTTTTTAGTTTAAAAAAATATGTGTCCAAGACATTTATTAAGTGAATCCTTTGTCTTAAAATTATAATATATTTTCGTAAATTTATGTAAATTTCTTTGTAGCTGCAGCCAAATTTCGATCTAGCTAAAACTACAATCTTTATAACTGTTTATTTAAATTTTGTATAAACAATGATTTCAATACTTAATTTTAGCCAAATTTGGTGATGGTCATTTTTTGGTCTCTGCAAATAATAAAATAATAAATAAAATACGTCTACTGTAATAATAGAAAATGGACAAAATTATGAAGTTATGTGTGATATAGAATAAATTTCCTCAAAAGAATATTGGTACGCATTTTAATGTGTATCTGCACCAAATTTCGTTGAAAACTATACCTGCAGATTCTTTTCTAAAAAGTGAGCCATAATATACAAATTACCTTACAGTTATCATAATACCCTGTTTATTTATTGCCCGATTTTAATGAAATTTTGCATGTTCATGATGAAGAAAAAAGATTCATATACCTAAGATTTGTTTCGGTATGTTCCATACTTTTCTTCTGAAAAATAACCCCATCTGAATTTTCCATTTATTTCTGATCATAGTAGTCCTGTTTTAATTTTCGTTCAGTATCAATTAATATATTAATATAATTATTACAAATATATTTAATTTGATAAATATTCACAACAGATAAAATAACATATGTCGATAAATATACACGGTGATTCCTTTATCTTTTTACAAACCGTGGAATATCAGTACTAGCATATAGTGACCCAGATTGCACTCTTCTGCGTGCACCGGAAGCTAGGTTAAGCTTCCGGTTTAACCCGAAATAAATTACTTATTTTAAATGAAACGCCTTGTATATTATTATCACAATATTGGAAAAATCATTAAATTGATAGTAAAACTTGAGATCTATCCTAAATATCTAGACATACAGGGGATTAAATAGCACCATATCGTGTGATGCAAAAATTGAAAAATTATAAGTTGCTCATGACAGATGTCAAATTATTTTAATTACAACTCACCGTAGTGATCTCAAAATTAAAACTTGAATAATAATCCAGGACTTAAAAAACATGTAAACTGTCTTAATTACTGTTAAAATTTATTAGTATTGTTACTATGTTATCATTATTTTTGTATTTTATTCTTAGCTGTATGGCTTTTGTTTGTCGATAATAATAAAAATATTTCATAACAGTATGACACTTGTTCGACATTTAAATCATGGCTAACTTTTATTTTTTTTGCATAGCACGGTATGGGGCTATTAACCATCCACATGTCATTAGATATTTAATGCAAGTCCCAAATATATAGATACCATTAATTTAATCAGAATTTGGTGCTTTTCCGATATTCAATCGAAGGCCTTATATGATATAGTAGTGACATTCCATATTTCATATTTATATTTGTAATGGTTTAATGGCTATTACTTGTAAATAGATAAGGAAATCACCCTGTATAGTAATTTTCATTTTCAAATATATAAATGTTTTTTAAA